ATCCATTTTTGGGGAGTAATAATAATTTCAACTGTGGTTTAGCCTCAGGCCTATACTTCATCATATACAGTGTAATATTAATTATGTGTTTACTTAAACTTCAATATTAAGTAGAGTCATTAGCCCTAGTGGAGAATCTATAGTTCCAGTCATTTTGCACAATGTCTTCACATTTTTTGAGATTCTTATTTCCAACTATCCATTGGTTGTCTGGATTTCTTTGTTAAGTAGTTTATTTTCAGAAAGAGTCTATATATGTTGCATTCAGTAAGTTCCTAATGTCAGGTTTTGATTTTACATTTGCATGAGAACAGGAGGGTGTAAGAGCTTGGCTCATTTGCTGTTTTCCTCGGACAGGGTAGACATTATTCTTTCATTTTCAGTCATTGATGGGGCTGTGACAAAGTCTAAGGTGAGGTGGATAGTCCTCATTAGAAGCAGGATACTTTTTCTTTATACCTAAAAATAAGGGACATCACCAGGATGTGCTTTTTTTCTATTAATGCTCAGACTTAGTTGTCCTCTTATTTGGGTAGAGTTATCTTCTATTAACGCTTAACTTTTTTTCTGTGGTGCTCTAGTCTTCAGAAATACTGATTTTACACTTGTCAGATCTCCTTATTCCTTCTTTCGTAACAATCACCTTTTAAAGTGCTTTTACTTGTTTGGCTGAGTCAATTCTACTTCATGACGTTTCTACAGAATATCAGAAGACATTCCTTTGTTTCTGATAAGGAAACACCTTTCACCGTCCTTTTCTGTGCTGAGAGATGCCAGCTCATTTTTCATCTCTGTATTATTCTTTTAATTTCATCTGTTATAAGCATTTTTTTCAGTCTAAGTTGTCCATGATTTCTTAAAGAATGAAGAAGTATTTTTATGAAATGATCTTATTTTTCCCGAAACATTTATTCAAATAGAAATTCTTGATCTGTTTTTGGATTCTTTTTATCCTAATTGTGGTGGGGATGGCAGTAAAATGGTGCAAAGGGAGCATCTATGCATAGGTCCCCTGTAAATTATTTCTGGAAATTTGCTGTGTGTGGGGGAAGCTTTCTAAGCCAGTCATTTGTTCAAAGATAGTTTTGGAAGTAATGGGTATAGTAATATGTATGCCTCAGGAATTTTCAATTTTACACCAGGTATAATATGAAACTGTCAAAGGATTTTGAGGAATAGGTAAACTCTATATGCACACGTGAAGAACAATGCAAGTAGAATCTGGGTGGAATACAAAAGAAGAGATTATATAAATAAATGTAATAGCATTTTCAAATAATTGATAAGAAGAATCATTTGTCTGCTCTAAACACCCGTGTAGAATCATTTGTCTGCTCTAAACACCCGTGTAGAATCATTTGTCTGCTCTAAACACCCGTGTAGAATGCTTTAATATCAGCAGATTGTCAGGAAATATTTTTCCAATGGTATTTAAACAGACTCCACCTTCAGATCCCTGAGTGAATTTTTAAAATACATAATACATCATTTATGAGAAAAATATTTTAAGCACTAACAATAATAATATTCTAATTCAGAAATTTCAGCAGTCTAGCTCAGTATTATCTACGTTTAATCCTCTCCTAACCGCACTCTACATTTTCCCTGTATTTGTTGACACATGTTTGATGGTTTTATTGGCTTTATTACTGTTTCAAAAATTACATCCAAAATTTCACAGCTTAAAACAACAAGCATTTATTATATCACAGCATCTGTGGCTCAGGAACCTGGGTGCAACTTAGCTGGACACTCTGATGTAAGGTTTCTCAATCAAGGTGCCGGCCAGGGATACAGTCATTGCAAGGCTTAACTGGAGGAAAATCTGCTTCCAACCTCACTCACACGGCTGTTAGTTGGCCTCAGGCCCCTGATGGTTGTTGGCTGTAGACAGCAGTTGTTTCACACATGGACCTCTTCACAAAGTTACAGGAAATAAAGAGTAAGAGAGTTCACACAAGATAGGAATAACAGTTTTTTTGGTAACTTAATCTCAAAAGTGGCATGTATTCATTTTGCTGCATTATATTCATCAGAAATTAGTTACTAGGGCCAGCACAGACTCAAGTAGAGGGGATTACACAAAGGCATGAACATAAGGGTGCAGGATCATTGGGGGCCCCTAGAGGCTGTCTAGTGCAATTCACTCTTGACGCACAATAATTCACATCTCTCCTACATGCAAAGTACATTCACCCTCCCAAGATTCCCAAGCATCTAATCCCACTAAAACATTAGCTCAAAGTGCAGAATCTTATCAAATAAATCAGATTCATAAGTGGATGTTCCTTTGGATGTAGTTCTCTGAGCACAGTTTCTGTAGAAATATAGATCAGAGAAACTAAAGAGACAAGCTATTTGCTCCCCACACACTCCACATACAAGGGCGGGATATAGAATAAGAACTATAGACATTCTTGTTGAAAAAGGGATAAAGTGGTAGGCACACAGGAGTGACTGGTCCATAGCAATTCTACTATCCAGCCAGACAAACACCTGAAGCTCTTTGATTATGTTTCAAGATGTGGGAATAATGCTCTGTGTCTCTCAGCTCCACCCTCTGTGTTCTTTGTTCACCTGCTATGTCATCCTTCTTTTATCACAAAAGGTAGCACATATTTGTAGCTGAGAAATGTTCTCAGCCTACTTCACCAGAGTAGAAATTTGGGGGGTCCAGCTTTATTGTCAAGAGGCAATAAAATGCCTCTTTCATTTTATATTGTCTCTGACCTTTCGATCAAAATTGGCAGTGTTTCTGCTGATATGATTCTCTCAAAAACCTTGTGCCTCTCCTGTGACTTTCATTAGGGCAATTGCCACTAAACAGCAACAACAACTCAAACCTTTTTCTAACTTGGACCCCTGCTGACACACTGAGGGACAATGCCGTAAGCATCCTAGAAGTCCTGTTGTTTGGTTGAGAATATCTGTGGGTTATAGCCTTAAGCTCACTGAAGGACCTTTAGCGTGACTATAGTTCTCTCGGCATTAGTTTTAATTTTTCTGAAATCTAAACAATAGTTTTTACAGTAATATCCTAGGCTTCACTGTTAGACCACAGTACTCCTGGTATTACCATTGACTTTGTCCTTGTGCAGAAACCATTTGTTCATGTTACCATCCTGTACCATATGGAGAGGCTGGGAGTTTTAAAACCCATAAAGCCCTGGCTCCATTTTGTTTAAAACATGCATTCCTCCATTTCTGTCTCTCTTCTCTCGTTTCACTCAAAACAGCAAGAAGGAATGAGATTGTGCCTTCAACATTTTGCTTGGAAATCCCCTTAGCTAGATGGGTCCATTCAATGTAGGAGATTTTCTGCTTTCCACATAACTGCAGATAACAGGATTGCTAAACTTTCTGACAGTATTTAACAAGAATCTTCTTTCCCCCAGTTTCCAATAACATGTTCTTCACTTTCTTTTAAACCCTCACTAACAGCATCCACAAAATCCGGATTTCATTAAAAATCTGTTCAAGAGAAGCTGGACATTCTCTACTACGTTCCTCAAAATCCTTCCGGTTTCTGTTCATTCCCAGTTCTCAAACCACTCCCACATTTTTAGGTCTTTGTTATGGCAACACATCCCCGCTGCATACCAAAATATGTGTAAATTACCAACTGCCGCCTCACCAATTACCCCAACCACAGCATAACAAGACAAACTTTTAGCGTCTCATTCTCTATGGCTCAGGAATCTGGGCCCAGGGTTATTAGGTGCCTCCGGCTCTTTTATAAGTCTGCAATCAAGGTGTTGACTGGGGTTGGTGATCTCAAGGTTGGCTGGAAAAGGATTTGTTGCCCAGCTCACTCATCTGGAAGTCAGGAGCCGTCAGGTGGCCAGAAACATCAATTCCTTGCCAGTGGGACACTCCATACAGCTATTCACAACATGGCATCTTGCGGCCCCTAGAGTAAGGCCTCCTATAGTGTTATGGGTTGAATTGTGTCCCCCTAAAAGATATGTTGAATTCCTAACCCCCACCACCTCAGAGTTTAATCTCATTCAGGAATGGGAGCATTGTAGATATAATTCATTAAGACAAGGTCATCCTGGTCTTGTAAGTAGGCTTACAAGTAGGCTGGGCCCTTAATCCAAAATGACTGGTATCCATATAAGAAGAGGGAAAACTGGACACAGACACAGAGAGAAGAATACCATGTGAGGAATTACACTGGTACAGGCCAAGGAATGCCAAGGATTCCTGGTGATATCAGAAGTTAAGAGAAAGGCAGGGAACAGACTCTCCTTGATAGACTTCAATAGAGCATCATCTTCCTGACAGCTTGGTCTCAGAATTTTAACCTCCATAACTGTGTGAAAATAAATTTCTGCTGCCACCCAGTTTGTGGTAATTTGTTATGGCAGGCCTAGGGGGAAAACAAAAAGAGAAAAAGAAAAAACAATAAAAACAGCAAGAAACCCAGCAATCTCACTCCTGGGCATATACCCAGAGAAAACCATAATTCAAAAAGATACACGCACCCCGATGTTCATTGCAGCACTATTTACAATAGGCAGGAGGTGGAAACAACCTAAATGTCCATCAGCAGAGGAATGGATAAGAAGATGTGGTACATATAGACAATGGAATATCACTCAGCCATAAAAAGGAATGAAATTGTGCCATTTACAGAGACACGGATAGACCTAGAGACTGTTATACAGAGTGAAGTCAGAAAGAGAAAAACAAATATCGTATAATATCACTTATATGTGGAGTCTAGAAAAATGGTACAGATGAACTTATTTGCAAAGCAGAAATAGAGACACAGATGTAGAGAACAAACTTATGGGTACTAAGGGGAGAAGGGGGGTGTGGGATGACTTGGGAGATTGGGATTGACATATATACACTACTATGTATAAAACAGAGAACTAATGAGAACCTACTGTACAGCACAGGGAACCCTACTCAGTGCTCTGTGGTGACCTAAAGGGAAGGAAATCTTAAAAAGAGGAGACATATGTATACGTATAACTGATTCACTTTGCTGTACAGCAGAAACTAACACATTGTAAAGCAAATATAATCCAACAAAAATTAATTAAAAAAAAAAAACAACAAGAAAGAAAACATAGTCTTCTAACCTAATCTCAAAAGTGACATTCAAGATTTTTGCCCACAGCTTCCGGCTGGTGAAAAGCTCACTCTGTGGTAGTCCCCATATGTATTGCCTACACTCTGGGTTACAGCCACTATAAAATAAATAATAAATAACGCATACAAAGTATGTATATAGCATTCTTTAGTCATTCAAAAATCATTGAAAAAAGTGTTATTATTTATTTTAAGTAATTGGTGAAGGAGGAAGAAAAATCATCATTCCTTATGTCGGAGTTTTGACCTGGAAGGGATTCTTATCTTTAGTTTTGCACAGCAAACACTAAGCTTTATCACAGTGTATAAGGCCTGGTCTGCTCAGTCAACAACTTGGTTTTTGTCTGTATGATGTAAAGGTAGATAGTTAACTGGACTTGTTACCTTGGCCACTAAAATGCCTACCTTCTCCTGTGACCTGCTCTCTGCAGACATTGTCTTATTGTTAAAAGTTAAAATGAGGAATATTAAAAATTTAAAGAGTTTATTTGAGCAAAAATTGATTCAAACTGGGCAGCATCCAATCTAGCAGACAGAAAGGAGCTCCAAGGGGCTGTACAAAATGAAAAACTTTCAGACAGAGGGGAATAGCATCAAGGAAATTATACCAGGCAAAGAAAGTGGGTTAGTTAATGCAAAGTTACTTTCCTTTAGGTGATGGCAAGATTACATAGCTATTGCTGGTCAGGTAATTCTTGATCAACTAGTGTAAGATTCCATTTCTGGGGGAAGCAAAACTATAGTTAAGCCTCAGTTTGGTGAAATGGTTGCTAGTGACTTAGCACAAGCGACTGCATTTTGGGCTCGTCTTGTTTTTAACACCATGAACACCATTCCAAGAACCCCTAATTCCCTCCACCTACTCCTGAAGTGCATTTCCCTTTATTCACCTCCCAGATACACCAGAGGCAGGAGGGAAGTACCCAGAGCATGTAGCCATCCCTTTCCAAATCAAGGAAGTCACTTCCCGGGTCTCCCTAAGTCACTTTCAAAGCCACTAAGTTGTTCCTCTCCCCTTTCCACAAGGGCAGGCTCGGAAGAAGTGGAGTTTTAGGAAGAATAATTCCTTGGGCTTTGAAGAAGTCTGAGTAGAAATTCTGAAATCTGTCCCAGGTGAGTGGTCTGTCTCCCTTCTTGTACCTGAGTTTTGCAAAATAAGGGTGGGGGAGGGGTGGAGGTGATGATACCTGAAAACAAGATCTGCTTGCTCCTGGGGGCTGGTCCCCTCTTTATGTTGTGTGGCACCCTCTTCTTTACCCGAAGCAAACATCCCCTGATCACCTCCACAACCTCCTGCTCTGGGAGGGGATTCTTCCAGGGACTTCACGAACCTGCTCCTTTTACTGACCTGGCAGTAAGTGTTTCTGCCTGCACAGATGCCAGGGCTGGAAGTTGTCGGATGGCCCATCACCAGCAGCAGAGGCCTTGCCTGGGAGATTGTTAAAAATACAGGATCTCAGGTCCTACCTCGGACCCAGGGAATTCAAATCTGCAGTTAACAGGATCTCCAGATGATTCTCAGGCAGCCATAGCAAAGTGTTTAAACCATGGCTGTAAATGACACAGCCAGAATCAGTTATTTCGAGGATTTTATTCCAAAGCCCCCCTTGATGTGTGTGTGTCTGCGTCTGTGTGTGTGTGCATGTACACAGGCTGTGGGAGTGGGAAAGGGAAGGAGGTGAACATTGGCGCTGCTCATTAAGAGTTTGCATTTGATGTTTGTCCGCACCTCTGAGGGTATTTGTGCATAAAGAAATGGAGTAGTGATTGCTAGAGTGAAACTTGTGTAACTGCTCCAAAAACCCAAGGGGTTTTTTGGTTTGCATTTTTTTTGTTTTGTTGTTGTTTGTTTGTTTGTTTGCTTTACCTGAGTTCATTTACTAAGAGTTTGTACCAGGGGGCGCTGCAGGCCTTTCTTTTTTATTGTCCTTAAAACTTCTGTATACTGAAGTCAGAAAGCTCAAATTATTGGTAAATGCTTCAATCCACATTATTTCATTTGATACATCAATACCTGCATTATCCAGGTATTGGGTCTTTTGACTTTATGGATGAGTAAGAGCAAGACTGACCATCTGTTTCCAATCTCCAAAACCCAGGCTCCTTTTGCAGCCTACCGCACCACTTGTTGCTCTTATGATAACTTCAATATGAAGTTATACAGAGAAAGAACTAAAATAAAATTTTGCCCAAGGCTGGGTAAGTAGTCTGTCTAAATTCGAGTAGATGAAAACAATATTTATTGTGTTGCTTTGCTAAGAGTCTTTTAATTGTTTGCAATACAAAATGCAACCCATATTGCAAATTCATATAAAATATTCTGTTAGGTCTTCTGCTAGAAATTTAAAGGGTATCACGGTACCTCTGAACAAGATTAATGTATGTATATGATGACCTGGACAGCCCTGATATTCCCTTAAACTTGTATAAACTTTAGACAGGTGTCTACCTAACTATAGATCCCTCACTTCCCTTTTCTTAGAGCATTTATCTTAGAAAACTTGCAATTGTACAATTGTAAATTCTTTCTTTCAGCCTGTTTGAGAGGTAAATCTCATAGCCTCTTGCCTGGGTCTTTGGGAAAGACCCAAGAACGTCTTTCCCAAAGACTTGGGAGCCATCTCTTTGAAATATAATCATCAAGAGAGACAGTTTCCCTTTCACCCCAGTCTCAGTTGGAGAATAGGAGTCTGGTTTCCATAAAACAAAAAAAAAATATATATATATATATATATATATATATATATATATATATATCTTTTGTTTTTTCCTGTAATGATAAAGTTTTGTTTGCTTTATCAAGTGCAATAATCTGGATGGTCAGGACACTATTGTTACCTCTAATTAGGTACCTTCAAGAAAAGGAAGTCAATTTTCTTTGCTCATGAAGATAATCTGTTCATTCTTCTCCTGACCTTCTCCTTCATGTTCTCTGTTGTCAGGGAACAGCCATGTTGGTGCTCCTTCTGCTGCTGTTTTTTTGTTTACCCCACAGGTAATTCTGATGCACTGCTTTGTAAGCTGGGCCTGTGTTGTAAAATAAACATCTTTAAAATTATATTTACCCTTCAGCAATTGTAGATGGATGGGTAAAAATTCTCTTTCAAAAGTTACTATGGTCATAGCCAAGCAAAAGTACAGATTTCAGCCTCAATCTTTTTCTCTTGATGGGTTGGTGCTTTAATTTGTTTAGCAGTGTCTCCAGCAGTTTCTAAAGTGCCTTTTTCAGGGACTTCCCTCGTGGTGCAGTGGTTAAGAATCTGCCTGCCAATGCAGGGGACACGGGTTCGATCCCTGGTCCAGGAAGATCCCACATGCTGTGGAGCAACTAAACCCATGTGCCACAACTACTGAGCCCACGCACTGCAACCACTGAAGCCCGTGCACCTAGAGCCCATGCTCCACAACAAGAGAAGCCACTGCAATGAGAAGCCCGCGCACCGCAACGAAGAGTAGCCCCCACTGCTTGCTGCAACTAGAGAAAGCCTGCACTCAGCAATGAAGATCCAATGCAACCAAAAATAAGTAACTTTAAAAAGTAAAAAAATAAAGTGCCTTTTTCTGATTTTCGTTTAAAGGATTGTGGCAGCAAATGATCTTTGACTCTTAACTTATGTCACGTGTACAGAGCACACTCACTGGAGCTCTGTACATGTAACATGTATAACTTTCAGTTCTAGGTTAAGGATGAGTGTGGGTTCTTAGGTCACTGTGCTAAAAACAGTTATAATGCTGACTGAAAGTCACCTGCTTTTTAAAATTAACAGACTTCGTTTTAGCTTTATGAGAAAAAAAGCAGTTTAGGTCTGCAGAAAATTTTAGCAGAAAATAGAGTTCCCATATGCGTTTCTTCCTCTTATGCATCTTCCCCTATTTTTAACACCTTCCATTATTGTGTTACACTGGTTACAGCTGATGAACAAATTTCGCTACATTATTATTAACTGAAGTCCATAGTCTAAATGAGGGTTCACTCTTTGTGTTCTATATGCTATGGATTTTGAAAAATGTGTAATGACATGAATCTGAAAGGGACAAAGTCGGTAATTAAATAGTTAATCCCACTAGGGGATTGTAAGTAAGAAAAATATGGGAGACCCCTGTAAGTTAACGATCACTTAAGAAAGCAGGTTTGCTTAACTACAAAATGAAGCAGGCTTGTGTATCAACAAAGCCATGCAACCGAAGCATGAGACGTGCCCCAAAACAATAAAACAATGGTGGCCTGGGACCCATATCCTGCTCAGTGAGCTCACTAAGTTAATGACCCCTAGGACATGCTCTCTGCACATAAAAAACAATAATTTATGGAAAGGTGACATTGCATTGCAAAGTGAAAGACCCTCATGGTACTGAGACCTGAAATAATTTTTCCATAGTGCCATGACAGTCCTGGATTAACCACGTAGGGACAAGAAAACTCCCCAGCTGGACCTGGAGGAGGAGCTGATGGTGGAAGCTTGACGTCTACTCAACAATGAGGAAGGGCTTCCCTGGTGGCACAGTGGTTGAGAGTCTGCCAGCCGATGCAAGGGACACGGGTTCGTGCCCCGGTCCGGGAGGATCCCACATGCCGCGGAGCGGCTGGGCCCGTGAGCCATGGCCACTGCGCCTGCGCGTCCGGAACCTGTGCTCCGCAACGGGAGAGGCCGCAGCAGTGAGAGGCCCACGTACCACAAAAAAAAAAAAAAAAAAAAAAAAAAATCCCCTGGGCTCCACCTATTCATCCCTCCCAACCTTCCCACCTTGGCCCCTTAGACAGACCTTTTCACTGTCTGCATAGTTTTGCCTTTTCCTGAATGCCAAATCGTTGGAATTTTACAGTACGTAGCCTTTTCAGATTGCCTTCTTTCACGTAGTAACCTGCATTAAAGGTTCTTTTATGTCTTTTCTTGATTCGAGAGCGTTTTTTTAAGTCTGTTTTGCCAAAAGTTTTACTTTTGTTTTAGTTTCGAAGAATTCGTTAACAAAGAGACACCGCTCGTCACACAAATAGACAATTTCAACTTAACTTTAATAGAAAATCATTAAAAAGAAAGAAATAGAAATGAAAAGGGAGAGAACAGTAAAAGCGTGTACCTCACCAAACTGGGCCGACACCTACATCCAGACTCGAACGGCCCTGGGAATTCCCAAAAACAGCAATCTGGAGTCCCAACTGGGCAAGGTCCCGGGCAGTGCGTCCACTCCACGGGTGAGACTTCAAATTGCAGTTTAGGGGAGTCCTGCTTATAATACCAGGCCGCAAACTGATATCATCAGTTTGCCTGCAAATACGCAGCTTGGGGTTTCTTCAATGATGCTGTTTATCTCATTTCGTGTATCATAAGAATTTCTAGATCCCCGGGAACTGGCCAGGTCCCTGAGGCTCATGAAACTGCACGAACCACTCCCTTCTTTATCTTAAGTGCCGCCGGACTTGCTGGCCACAGCTCCCAAACAGGCACGTAGTCCAGGCAAGATCACAAATCAGTTAGAGGCCTAATATCGCCTCTGAAGCCTGAACAAGACGACTTCCATTTCAGTCCTCCTAACAAAGTCCCTGAATATTACGCCATTGTTTGGAGAGTCTACAGCGTGTTTAGCCATGTATATATTGACAGGCATCTTGGTTGCTTCCAAGTTTTGGCAGTCATGAATATAGCTGCTATAAACACACCTGTGTAGGTTTGGCATAAACTTCAGGTTTTCTTTTTTTTTTTTTTTCGGTACGCGGGCCTTTCAGTGCTGCGGCCTCTCCCGTTGCGGAGCACAGGCTCCGGACACGCAGGCTCAGCGGCCATGGCTCACGGGCCCAGCCGTTCTGCGGCACGTGGGATCTTCCCGGACCGGGGCACGAACCCGTGTCCCCTGCATCGGCAAGTGGACTCTCAACCACTGCGCCACCAGGGAAGCCCCTAAGCTTCAGTTTTCAACTCATTTGTGTAAATGCCAAAAAGTGAGATTGTTGGATCATATGATGAGTGTATTAATTTAAGAGACTGCCAAGCTGTCTTCTAAAGAGCCATCTGCTTTTTATTATCACCCCTTGATGAAACTTCTAAATCATTTCAGGGATTAAAATAAGCCACCAGAAGAAAAAAAATCTGTTGATGAAAGACCGATGTTTGCAGTTATTGTATTGTTTTGAGAACATGTTCCTAAACTCCTTTCCAACTGGACCAATCTCACTGTGGACAGATCCTCAGCTTTGAGATCTGATCACCCCAAGAAAGTCCGAGAAAGTGTGATGGAGACAGGTGATAATATATTTAAGATCATTTGAAAATCAAAATGGACTAACTATGGTTCACACATCCAAAATGGAGCCAGGTGGCCATCGGTGGATGTGGTTTCAGATGCATTCTTGCATCACTGAGGACTTGAACTTTCTGAACTGTATCTAATTCAAGAACACCACCAGCCATTTTCACGATATTTGCAAGCAGCTACCAGCTGCAGACATTGTTTCCAAGTGCCCCCCTCCCCGCCCTGCAACTGTATAACCATTTTGAACCCCAACACATTCTTGTTTAAACAAGCACCCTTATTTCTTGCCAGCTCCAATCCGAATTCTTGATAATTTATGTGACCTTGCAGTTTTTTGCCTCTGTGAGCATTTTGTAGTCCTGGAACGCGTACAACTCAATGCTTTTTAATCTGTGCCTCCTGAGACCTGAGGTCCTAACAGACCACACATCAACACCTTTCGGGGGTGTGTGTGTGTGTGTGTGTGTGGTCACAAGCAGGGTTTTCTGTTCTCAAAAGTCTTGGTTAACACAGGCTAGACAGCCTTGTCCCCACCTCTGGTAGGCCAGCATGGCAACCAGGCTGTGGAGCCTGCTGCAGACTTTCCCCTGCTTTGCCAGGAAGGGACCCGGTTTGGGAGACAGCCTGAGCAGCGGGCAGTCTTCTTTGATCCACTGTTAACCCACCAGGACCCCATCAGGCGCTCCGCAAGTTTCAGTGTCCTCAGCCGACTTTGGAAAGGAACCAAAGACCCCTAACCTGAAGGCATCCTGTTTACAACGGTTCTGACTTTCTTTTCTGCCTCGAAGCCCTGGGAAATGAAAAACAGGAAGCAAAACTGGGTTAAAAAAAGCCGGGTGTGTGACATCTGGCTGTGGGATATCTACTGCCCTCTGGTCTACTGCCAGTGCCTGCTTCCTGGCCTGCCCCAGGCGGTGGCAGAAGGTTGAGGCCTGGAAGCCAGAGACCGTCCAGGAGGGGCCGCAGATGGGGAGGGATGTGGGCGCAGACCCGGAAGCTGGAGCCCCCTGGAGAGCGCGTCAGGGGGGGCAAAGAGTTCGTAGCCCTGAGACCAGCCATCCCCACGGGGCCGCCACCGCTCCAGCACCAGGTCACAGTAAAAAGAGGAGCCGCCAACGGGAGAACCGAGAAGAGGAAGAAGAAAACGCCTTCCTTGGTTTCACCCAGGCTGTGAACTCTCCAGGGCTTTCCCAACAGGGGTGAGCGTCTGGCCTAGACAGATGATTTCAAGAAATGTGACCTGATTTCTCCCCAGATGCCTGGGCCCCTAAGCCACCCTCTTCATGGGAGTTTGCACAACTTTAGGGAGTGAGTGGGAGATTCCTTAGGACAGGCCCTGTGGTCTGGGGATTAAGGGCTTTGAAAGGCTGGGAGACTGCTGCAGGCAGTGACCTGGTTCAGGGCCCCTCCCTCATTTTATGTCTCAGTGCACCCCAACCCCAGGTTGGTATCTTAATTGGAAAATAGAGATCCCTTTGGAACTGGCATGGCCCCCTCTGGAACTGGTCCCCTCCATTCCAGGAACACAAATCTCCCAACTTTCTTGGGGAGAATTGCCTTTAAGCTGGGTCTGAATATCCTCAAGCTCCCTCTGGCAGAATACCGGTATGTTAAAACAAAAAGTTCCCATCCAGGTGTCATACAGGTTAATTGTGCCACTGTTTTCTTAACATACTGCTCTTATTAACTGAAATTTCAGAAATAAAGACCTGGTTGAGATAAAGAGGCATTTATTGGGGAATTGTTAGAGCTAAAGCCTGGAGACACAGATTCAGGAAGCTCTGGAGTTGTGACCTGCCAGGCTAAAAAAATGGAGGAAGTTTATAAGAGACAAAAGCAAGAAGCTCTGGTTAGTTATAAAACTTGTCAAGAACTATCATTGGAGAAGTTGAGGGTGCTTGTTAAGCAAGGATTGGTTGAATTTGAAATAGTTGCATAACCACAAGGCCACAAGGCAGGAGGGGGAAACTTGAAACCAAAAGGAAGCAAGGCGGGGAGGGGGGCCTTGAAACCAAAGGGGCTGGTAAATGTTCTGTCCTTGGATCTGGTACAATACAAAGAAAGTTCAAGTTCTTCAGTTCTGAAATCAGGCCCTCAATGGCCTCCCAACTCCATTTTTGTATGCTGAACTGTGATTACTCCATTATAATTTCTTTTCTTTTTTTTTACATAAATTTATTTATTTACTTTTGGCTGCGTGGGTTCTTCTCTGCTGCGCGCTGGCTTCCTCTAGTTGTGGCGAGCAGGGCTACTCTTTGTTGTGTTGCGTGATTGGATGATAAATGATTAGGAATACAAAAAACACGAAAAAATGGGGCTGCCACTCTAACTAGATGTGTTACACAGCTGCTGCAGTAAATAACTTCATTGATAGTAAATTTCATTGATAGCACAGTATATATTTACTTATAACTCATGTAGCTGTGGAATATAGGAATTACTGGTCAGAATGCAGCTTTCTTCCCTGGAAATTCAGGGACATAGGTTTCTTTTATCTTGAGGCTGTGCCGCCACCTCTAAGGTCTCCTTGATATTTTCACCTAAATAGAGAAAGGGGAAAGCTTTTGTGAAGACATGTCTGAGCTTGGGTGTCCTCAGCCTGAAGCAGCTTGAAGCAGGATTTTGGTTCCTGACCAGAGATTGAAGTCAGGTCGTAGCAGTGAGAGCACTGGATCCTGGCCACTAGACCAGTGGCCAGTGACAAGGCCCTGGTCAGCACGGCTTTGCAGAAAATGAATTTCCACGAAGAAACGGAAGGTAGTGAAACACGTAAGGTGTTTATTAGGGGGAAAAAGAGTACGTGTGAATAGGCACACATGGGCAGGCTCAAGAGAGAGTTGCGCCCTCGTGGTAGTTTGAATCACTTTTATGGGGCATTTCTTCTGGGTTTCCTTTGGCCAATCATCTTGCTTTGCCTGGTTCTGAGTCCATATTTGGTACATCTCAGGGTTCTCCCGTGTGTGTGTGCATCTCTTAGCCATGATGGATTCTAGCCAAGAGGCCTATGGGTAGGTTGACATCACTCTCCTTTTTGACCTCCAAAGAGCCTCTCTGAGCATGTATAGTCGGGAAGGTCTCCTTGACCTTGAAAATGAGATATATATGGTCTCTTATCTGGGCAGGGCTTAGCTTCTCCTCTTCATCTTGGAGTATCTGTCCACAGGGGACAAACTCCAGCTCTTCAGCCTGGGGCCCGTCTATCTCCTGCCTCAAGTCCATTTCTGGAAGGTCTGTGCCCAGTGACATAGCGACATACCTCACCTTGATTCACATTCACATTAGTGAGAATTATTTCTGTGGCCACATCTAGATGAAAGGGTTGGTGGAAATGTATATTTATAATATAGAAAAAATCCTCAAAACCCAACAGCAAAAATGCAAAGACTCTAATTACAAAATGGGCAAAAATCATAAAGATACATTTCACTGAAGAGGATAAACAGAACAAATAAACACATGAAAAGATGCTCAACATCTTTAGCCATTACAGAAATGCTAAGTAAAACCACAGTGAGAGACTACTCCACAACCCTCAGTACAGCTAAATTAAAAAACCCTGACATGGGCTTCCCTGGTGGCACAGTGGTTGAGAGTCCGCCTGCCGATGCAGGGTACATGGGTTTGTGCCTCGGTCCGGGAAGATCCCACATGCCGCAGAGCGGCTGGGCCTGTGAACCATGGCCGCTGAGCCTGCGCATCCGGAGCCTGTGCTCCGCAACAGGAGAGGCCGCAACAGTGAGAGATCCACATACCGCAAAAAAAAAACAACAAAAAAACAAAACAAAACAAAAAAAACCCTGACATCAAATGCAGGGAAGATGTGGAGAACCTGATTCACGCATACGTTGCTGGTGGGAATGTAAAATAGAATAGTGACTCTGGAAAAGTTTGGATTTTTTTTTTAAAGTAAATGTACAATTACCATACAACCCAATCATAATTCTGAGTATTTATCCCAGAGA